GCAATAGTGATAACTTTTATTTGCCTGATATGATAGCAACTCTAATATATACAAGAATTTCATCGCCATTTTTAAAAGAAAATATTGTTATCTAAAGAAGAATGGTCTGAATTGGCGTAACGTGATTTTTTACGAGCGTGAATGAAAAGCGAATATTTTGTTAGAATATACTGTACTTACTTAAATGATTTAGAGAAAAAAAAACACGAAAAAATTACCCGAACTGTACGTAACAAGGTGGAGAAATGGTGCTAGGTCCACACCATTTCGCGGGGAAAACAAAGTCAACAGTTCCAAAAATTACAATTAGAGTCAAAAATGTTATGAGCTCTAATTAGTCTCCACCTTGTTAAATGATTCCTAAATTTGACTAAATATTGCTTCATTTTATTTTCCGTATGCAAGAACATCCAAGAAATCCGCAACCGCACCGATAACTCGATGTCGATAGAAAGTTTAATACTCGTACCGGAAGGGGACGGTTTTGGCACACGCGACATTCACCCCGGAAGGGCACGATTTTGATTCCAAGTTAACAACAACGTCAGCGACAAGGGAGAATAAATTCATAGTCGACTTTCCACCGCAAAGTCAGAAGCTCCCGGCCTGAACGCCGTATGAACATTCGAATGTTGCCAAATTTCCCCTAATAAAATATTGATTTTAAACATAAGTTAAGAGTGTTTTTCCTTGAAATGCTGATATCTTCAATTAAATCCTCTCTATTCTAATAAAATAATTTTTAGGACGCTCGATGAAAGTGGTAAGGAAAGTGAGTAAAAGGAGAGTAAGAAGCCGTCTTCAGAGGCCTTCAAATGCGGAATATAGAAAACGCCTTCAAATGCGGCGTGATACCTCACACATTCCGGAGAGTTCAAATAGTTGTATCAGTGCGCCTTAAAAATGCAACGGGAGATGAAAATAGAAATGGCCTCCATGCACGCTGGGTTTGTCGATTTCCTTTGACATTTTTGCAGTGGTAAATGCATAGCTGAAGTGCGCTCCAGCTAGAATTGTATTTGGCAAATGGGTGGTTTTTATGCGAGGATTGAAAATAAACAAGTGGTACGGAATATAACAAAAGAATATGAACTATGCATAACGATAATCCGGGTATCGGAACATGGCTGATTTGAAAACGCCTTCAAATGTGGCGTGATTCCTCACGCATTCCGGAGAGTTCAAATAGTTGTATCATTGCGCCGTAAGAATAAGACGGATGATGAAAATGGAAATTCGTGAGGCAAGTCTTTGGGGGCACGCAGCGCCCTGGGGGCCGGACCCCCTTGTTGCAAAGAAAATTCTCTGGAAAAAAGGAGGGAGAATCTTCACAATGGATAATTTGTATGTGTTGGAAATTTTGTGAATTTCATGTTTAAGAAGAAACTACTGAGTGAGCTGAGCATGACAATACTCTTGGTTTTTTCCAGCGTAAACAATCATTATAAGAGAGAGATATTATCACCAAATGACCTAGTCGGCTTGAGTGCATGTTTTTAAATGTGAAATGCCGTCTGATGACGTAACAAACCGGCAGATTTCCTCATTATTAAGTCTATTTTTCTAAAACTTCCCATCTCTGAAAAAATTATGAAAAATACTGCGAAAGCAGCTCATTAATGTTGTTAAAGGCAGAATCTGGGTTCAGTTGACTTTTATAAGTTTGTCATACCGAAATCGTGGCATGGTTGTTCGAGTTTTGCGATCTGAGATGCAGCAATACATTTTTTTCGCGCAAATTCTCAATTCTTCCTAAAAATTAACATTTTATCGAAGAAAATTTAGCAACATCTGGTGGCTCATACGACGTTCTTCCTTAGCACGGCAGCCATCTGCCAAGAGATTCGCATCAGCACCGCGAGCCCCGGAAAATGGCGAGCGTCGCATCGTTAGGGTCGAAAGAATAACAAAGCAGGGAAGAGTATCGCGAGGCGGGGGGGGGCGAGAGGGGGAGGGCACAAAGGAGCGCTCGAAATATGTAGACAAACACACAAGAGATAAGCAAACACGCCCGCGACGACGACGAACGAGCGCGTCGCGCCCGGAGGTTATGCAACCAGCCCCGCTTCATTTTCGGGGTTAAATTATGGGCTGCACCCATTGTCCTCCATGACATAACTCGGTCGCGGCTCAAACTCGATTTCCGGATGAGACCTGGCGCCCGTAAGGACGCTTGGATACCGGGGCTCATGAGGATATGCAACCGTTGGGTTTCGAATGGGGGATTCGCGTGACAGGTAAGGCGAGGGCGGAATTGGCTTGGCGAGCGCTGAGTCTACACTTCCGGATGCTGGAGACTGGGCGACGGGACCTCTGCAATGCAGTCGCTCTGACGAGGCGACGGGGGCTGTGCGATCAATCGAACGGGCTTCGATTTGAGATGAACGCGCGGGGTGGTGCGGGAATTTTGATCTATTCTTCTCCTCCCTTCGAGCATGCTTCTCGACCGTGTTTTTCATTCCTGGCCGCTGCACGAGGAAAAAACGCGCTGCGCTTCTGGGACATACTGCCATACTAAGGCAAAACTCCGTAAGAGCCTTCAGGCGTTGCCAAATTTCCTTAAATAAATCACGAATTTTCGGGAAAATTTTTCGAAACGTTTTTCCTCGATTTTTTCAGATAATTTTATTCGCAATTTCACCTAAATTTACTGAAAATCCCGAGGAAAAATATCCATAGCTTTCTTCAAAAATAAACATTTTATCAAAGGAAACTTGGCAACTCTCGAATGTCCATACGCCGTTTTCCTTACCACGGCAGCGTAGCGCTAGGCCGTGAGATGAAGCATTGATAGGCTTGAAGAACATAGTTTAGTATGGGATACGTGCAGTTCTTGCTATTTCTCGAAGAAATACGCGTTTTAAAATACAAAATTTCGTGGAGTCAAATAGTGGAAATAAAATTCAAACTCACTTTTTGATGCAAACAAATTGGAGCTTAGGGGTGAATTTTACACAGAATATATTTGAAGACTAGCTTTATTAAATCATCAAATATCTCAATTTTTTTCGAAAACTGCCCTTATTTCACTTGTTTCCCACGTCCCACAATTCTTTATAATTTTTCATTTCTTGTATTTCCTTGATTTTACCAGATTTCCACGGACAAGTATCCTGGGAGAAAACAAGGCATTTTATTCACCTCTACATTCTTTGGGTTGGAGGGGGTGGGGACAAGATTTTATTACTATTTCTGGCTCAATTTAGGAACAATAAATGTGTTCTTAATTTTCCTGTGTGGATACATGCTTCTATAGATAAGGATATTAAGTAGGAATTTTTTAGCCAACGTGCATTAAAAATCAGCATGAAGCTGAAAATCTCAATACAGAGGGAAAAAACTCATATGAGCACAATTTTCCCTTGAAGAGATACGCTGTTTGGTGCAACAAAGTAACGACCATTCAAAAAGGCAACTACAGACGCGTTTTGGCCTAATTGGGCCAATCCTCAGTGCAGCACAGCCTGTGAATTAGCTAGGTATAGCAATTCCTTTCGGCAGAAGTGATTCTGGAGTCAATGATCAAGGAAAAAGTAATCAAGAGCGAAAGTCAAAAAAGGGATTAAAAAAGTTAAAACCTCCCCCAGTCTTGTCCCAAGAGCTAATCGAACGTATCGATACATCGCAGGGCTTAGGGATCGGAAACAGGGCTGTCGAATACGAAAATAAAGGGAGCGGATGTTGGATCACGGGAGCGGGGTCTATGATAAACGGCAGGAACTTATCGCTTCGCGTGGAATCATCTCGCAGGGACACAAACAGAGACGGAAGACCCAATGGGGTGCAAAAAGGAAAGCCTGGAAGCGAAGGGACGGCCAAAGGGAGACAAACGGAGATACCTCGTCCCTTGATATCCACGGTAGTGGGGCGGGGGGCCAGTGTCCCTGCAAATTCTCCCTTTGAGCCGCTCCTGCACAAAATCCTCGGCGTCTAGATTAGAATTAACCTCGTAGACAGAATTAGTTCACTTGCTCCTGTGAGAGTTTTAAGTGCAAGCGTCACGATGAACGAGAAATACTGTCTTTGTTTCATCGAATGAAAATGTATAATTTTTATATGATTTTTTCTAGGAGCGTTAACTGAATTTATCAAAATTTTTCGGCGGATCTCTTTTTTTGTCACAAAAATAATGACAATTCTCCATCACGAGATATGTTCCATCAGTATATTATCTAGGAGATAATGTGCAGGAATCAAACTATTGTACGATTTTTTTAATGCGTGGCTGTATCATGATGACTGGGCAATGTGGTTATAACATTACGGCACAAAATACAACGGGAGAAACATACTATTTTGAAACATCTTTATGAGTGGAAAAAAGCTCGAAAATTCAGGAAATTCGGTTTCTTCAATGCAGTTTTTCTCAAGGTGCGGGAATTAGAAGTTGGTATCGTACCTAAATCAACAGTGCAACTACTAAGAACATGATTCTATCTACTGCGATGTTCCTAAATACATACCTAGGGTAGATTTTTCATTTTTAAGCGGATACTTTTAAAACTTTAGGGGTAGATTTTCGGCACATATTCGCAAAAACCTGAGGAGAATTGGTACGAAATGTTGAGCAAGAACGATGATCACTCTATTTTTCTTCATTTTTCTCTAAAAAAAAATAAAATGAGATTGAAATACGCAAATTCCAATACAGAGATGCGTTCCAGTGATTTCCCATCGATGTAAAGGAATCACTTGATAATCTATCAATATTGCGCGATTGTTCATCTTATGACTGTCTATCAAAGCATGTCATATTTATCACACCTAGTTAACATTTTGCCCAGGTCTCAGTATTGGTCCATCGTTTTTTATCCAAACTCCTGATGGCAAAATGATTCCGTTTTTGTTTTATCGGCTGTTCAACAAGCGTTCTGCTCGTTCTACGTTTGGAGTGATGTTTCTTCTTATATTCTTTGAGTTTCAAGGGTCCTTAACGCAGTCATTGACAAAATGAGTGAAAACACCAATTCGACACTGAAAATAACTCAAATTTATCTTACCTTAAAATCGATGTAACCATTTTTGTCCATATCGAATGTTCGGAAGACGTGATCACAAAATTCTTCAGCGTTACCACTGGGAAAGAACATCTTATACATATCGACAAATTTGGCAGGAGTTAGTCTCCCGTTTGGACAGTCTTGCTGCAAAAACAGAAACAAAGAATCTGATTAGTAAGCATATTTAGATGGTAACAAAATTTAAAACGTCATCAACGCGACAATAATACCGCAATAATTTTTTTTTTTTTTTTTAAAAAAAAAGGGTGTCTCGGATAGTTTGTTGCTGGAGAGTATCGACGAATAAGAAACGCCTTCATTGCGAAAAGATACTTCCTAGCGTGGCCGTGAAGGTCGAATAGTTGCATCATTTAAAAACTCAATAAACAGAGTAGCAGTGTAGATTAGTGAGAAGATACGTTTGTTTCAGCTAACTCTTTGATGAAGAGAATCGACGCATAAATTACGTCTTCATTGTGAAAGGATACTCCTTGAAGAAAAGTACTTTTCTGATTATTTTTTTCGAAATTTCTCTAAATTACACCAATTATTGTACTTCGGTCAAAATTTCACGGAATTTTCCCATGTAGTCAAGCACCTCTAACTCACCTTAAAAATATGTACTATTCCAGAGATTCTCGGCCTTTTCGGACTAGGGGACATCCTGCAAAGGAGACGCCTCCATAGAAAACTTTGCGTTTGGACTGATATCTCATTAACTTCTGCGTACCTACAAGATTCAGCCGTGAAAACTTTATTTCGCGACGGCTGACCCATTTTCGTAGAAGTAACGGCCAACGGGTGACTTGCCGCGCCAGAATTCTTCTGAAAAGGAATCCATCGGCGCCCACGGCCTGTTTTCGCGCCTCACTGAACCCGACTTCTGACTTTTACCCGCCCTCCCCTCACTCCACCTCCGGAGCTTTTGAAAGTTCATGCCTCGAGACGTGCCATTTCTTCGCCCGGGAAAAAAAGAATCGGAATGGAACTGCATCGGTCGTGGTCGCACTCGGCATGACCGCCTACATTGTTGCCAGAAAGTGCTGAGAATCAGAACTGTCCCCAATTTAAACCCATGTAAAATAGTCACATTATATCTTGGAACCTGGCAACGCTGGACCGCCAGCCAAGCGTGCACAGTCCTGCTTTTTTCAAAAGGCTCCCTGTATGATTTAAAATGGGCTCTACCCCACCCAGATCCGAATGCTTCACAGACCAACCCCTCGAAAGCTCATTTTACGGAATAGTGGGTTTTCTTAGGTCTCGAAATTTCCGAATTCTTCCATAAATTTTTTAAGATTTTCGACAAATAATTTTCCGGCTCTTCTCTGATTCGTCGAAAAAGTGTGTATGTATGAGTCGCTTTTCGAAAAAGTAAGGAGTGATTATTGTGACGCTAAGTCCATTGAGACCGAGGGTATGCAATATTCGCGAACTTGCAAAAAGAAATCCTCTGTATCCGTAGAAAAATCCTTTTTCCGTACAGAAAATAACTATACGAGAAACTGAGAGTATTTCAACTGTGAGAACGAACGTTTACTCACGATTAATTTCTCCTCGTTGGGAAGGAATCGTCTGAGTTTACTATGAGGTGTTTATTTTGGCAACTTGTAATTTACTTTTTTGAGTGTATTAGGACAAAACTATGTAAGAAGGAGCAACGCAACTCTTTGTATGATATGAGTCCGAAATAATTTTGAGCGTGACTGCTATGAACTTTGTTCAGTCAAAGTCGAGAAAACATACTGTAAGTATGTTAATGGGTTATACACTTCATACATAGCTTTGAACATTACACAGAGATAAGATTTTAAGCCTCTTTTTCCTAAGTTGGTTTCTTCTTGATACTTTTGATTTCCTGCTGCTGCATTGGTTGAATCAATGAGGCGAAAGTTGAATAACATCGAAGCAGAAAGAAAGCGCTTTTAGATATACCCACCTCCCTTTTTCATCTTAAAATTGTGAAGATTCAGCAAACTTCAAAAGAATCTTCAACTGGTGAGTCGAATCACGATTGAAGAGCGCCTATTCAACTTTCAAACTAAGTTTTAAATCCATTTAGACTTATCGATTGTTTTGTCAGTTTGGTGGCCCCGTGCTAATTTGCGAAGAAAGTTTCCGTTGACAGAACACTTGACAAACAATTTTCCCCATGCAAACGCACGTCACGCTATCCTCTCCGCGCACTGACAGACTTGAAAGCAGTTTGTCCGTTCTTCATTAAGCAGCGGAGATTCTTTCATGTTGGTAACACCAGGTTTTGTCTGTCTATTAAAAGTGGAAAACAATCGACATGTTTTGAGACAAACTGTCTCATCTAAAATCGATTATTTATAAGTGCGACTGTCCAAAGGAAAAGAAATCCTCATCCTGGGAAAATCAAAATGGGCCACTAGACAAGGTCTAAAAGAAAAGAAAAGTCTCATGTTTCCTCTTCGAAATTTTCCGTTGAAAACAATTCGGAATATGTGAGGTTCATACATAAACTCTTAAATGAGAAATTAAAAAGTATTTTTGACACGGAAGAAATGGAAGTTAGATTATATGAATGACGTCAATATTTGTAAGTTTGCCATCCAAGCAAAGTTTGTTCCTAGACTTTCAATTGTGCGAATCATTTTCCTCGAAAAATTTTAAAGAGAAAATAATTTTAATTTTGTACTAATTCATTCATTGTCTAATGTCCCATTGAGGTATTGCTATAAAGTAAAGAGGGGCATTTTACGAATAATCAGCGATGAAAAACACACACACTTGCCACGTCTAATATGACGTGAATAGGGTCCTTTTTTTAAATCGACTTTAAAATTCGTCATTTTTTAAGATTCGAGCAATTTTGAAGATTACAGAGCAGATTTGGTGATTATTGATTACTCTTTACGTAGAACGGAAGATTCGTAAAATGAAAGTTTCCACTCAGATAATGTTAGGTCCATTTCCTCAAAAACCTCATTTCTGTGTTTACTACTCTCTGCGATGAAACGGACAGTGCAGTACTGAAAATATCCAATTTTTCGGACGATTTGGCATCATGGAAGCGCGCCACGCAGGTTGCCTGTTCATGAAACCCAGGCGCTCCTTGAGCGCCCTCATTAAATTTTATGACAAAGGCTTTTACGAAATGAACAACTTAATAGATGCGGCAGGGTTGAGGATGATTAATTTTCAGCCCCTCACCTCACCTTCCCGCGCCCCGGAATATTCGACCCGGAGAATACGGGGTGAGGGACTGTCACCTTCCGGACTCTCTCGGAAAAAGCACAACTTTCGCGTCGACGGCGGCGCGGCGCGGCGCGGCACAGCGACGAGCAAAACGGGTGAAAGTTCTAAACCACGGGGGCGCCGAATTCCGAGGGAACAGGGACCATCTGTAGTCAGGTTACATTCCTTACCAGTGTTGTAAAATCGCGCATTTTCATTTGCCCAGGGTGGCATGAATTGTATGTCAGAGATAAAAGATTGAAAATTTCAGTGAAATACTTCATGAAAATTCACGAGGTTGTGAAATATTTCATGGAATTTCACGAGGTTATGAAATATTTCATGAAATTTTACGAGAATTTATATTTTTGAGGAGCTAGGGTATGCAACCCGCACTTAAACTCACAAAAATAGAAGAAAGTCACAATTTTTAAATTTTGCAAAACATGAAAAAGAACCGGTATTTTTCAGAGCCTTCATACATTTCTGAAATTTCAATATTTTATTTTCCATGAAATTTTACCATCATGCATTTGCCTGCCTCCAGGTCACATTCATAGTCGTCCCCTAAAAATCTGCTTTCCCCAGGAGGAACCGTATGGTTTACATTGTGACTACGGGAAGAAGGCGGTGTGACGAGACCTTCAAAGTAGCATCAAATTAACGACAATTTTGCCTAATGACAATCAACAGTTTAGCTTTAATCAAGGTAATTATGCACATCGCACCCTATAATTTGATACGAAATAAGATGATAGATATGCCAAAGGTGCTTACGTAAGGGACATAAGATACTTACGTAAATTGACCCTTAAAAGATATTACGCAGTGTTATACCACTACAGAAAATACAAAATTCCCAAGGAAACTTCTATGATCTTGACAAATTTTGATGTAGACCCCTATTTTGTGCCTTGTGAAGATCGACACATTTGTCAATGGGCGGATTTTATAAACGTTCCATGAACAGCCAGAAGTGTGAAAAGAACACCGTCAAGGCCAGCAAGAAGGCTTCTTCAATTTAAACCTTCCATCGCATTTGTAAGGAGCAACGATACAACTATTTATGCTCTCTGGAATGCATAAGATATCACGTCACAATTGAAGGCGTTTTTAAATCTGTTAAATTATGTTACTGGGATTGTGCGAAACTGCACTACTGCAGGAATGCGAATCTTGTTTGCGGTATTTCAGTAGTTCCATTCCCATTTTATTTATATCAAATAGAAAAAATTTATGATTTTGCTTGAAATGTTTTTAATTTATTATTTGAAGAAGCATTTTAAGAATTAATAATACTGGTAATGTCTTCCTGCCGAGAGAATTCACAAAAGACAGTAACGCTGGTACAGTAAATTACCTCATTGCGGATGAAATTGCTTCAGCACACTTTAACTTTGCGGTCACAACTGCAAAAATATCAAAAGAAAACCGCCACAATCACCGTGAAGGCTACTTCAATGTTAATCTTCCGTTGCATTGGTAAGGCGCAATGATACAACTATTCGTACTCTCCGGAACGCGTGAGGTATCACGCTCCAATTGAAGGCGTTTTTAAGGCTGTTAAGTTTTGTTGTCGAGATTAGGAGATGCTGCAGGAATGCGCGCCTCGTTTGCGGTGTTACAAAATCTCAACTCCCATTTTATGTGTATCAAAGAAGAAGAACCACTGATTTTGATTGAAATTTTCATAAATTGTTCTTCACACAGTGATAACAAATCAGGGAAGTTTGTACAAAATGACGCCGGATATTTGCCCGTATGAAAAACAAGTTTTGCTTTAAAGTTTGCAGTGTACAATCCGGCAACCTTGCACCTGCTTCTTCCTTGACGAGTCATTCAAAATTGCATCACGAGATTTGGTTCTCGGCCGTGACTGTGAAAGACACCTTGGACGGGGACGGTGGAGAGTAAATCTATTCAAATTCAATCCGAAACTTTGC